AAAGATTAGTTCACGGCGAAAGATTAGTTCACGGCGAAAGATTAGTTCACGGCGAAAGATTAGTTCACGGCGAAAGATTAGTTCACGGCGAAAGATTAGTTCACGGCGAAAGATTAGTTCAGTGTGAGTGATTTGTGAGTGATTTGTGAGTTCAATATGAACAAATATTTCATATGACTCAAGATTCGTTCATTTTGAACGAATCACTCGCGAACGACACATCACTAGCGGCGTGGGCTGCTCCAACTGCTGGGCCACCTAGCGTCGACGTCTGTAAGCGTGCTGGTATCTCAAATCTTTACTTGTATCTCGAAATTTACTCGAAGACTTGCTCGTATCTGGAGGTTCCACTGTATTTCTAAACAGTGTAGAATAAATCAGATGATCACACATGTCTGCCTTTCTCCAAAAACATCAGTTTTTCTTGGAGCTTATTTTTCTAATTCCTTTAACTTATTATCTGCAAAGACAGATGGCTTGGATGACCACCGACTTGTTCTTTTCTTATCTCTCAAGGTGAAATTTATTCACGACCAGACGTCAGCGTCACCCAAATACAGGGGTTTCTTCCATGGAGTTGGAGAAATAGTCAGACAACAAGGTAAAGAGCAGCATCAAAATCATGTGATTTTTCTGTCATCTACTGGTCAAAGTTGGTGGTGCAGCCTTGGAATCCAGCCATAAATTCCGTCTTTTTCTTCTTGCTGTTCTTGTTCACATAGGTCTAAGAGGAACTTACCAGGGTCTCACCGCCACTGTCCTCAAACAAGGCTCCAACCAGGCCATTCGATTCTATGTGATGACCTCTCTGAAGAACTGGTATAAAGGTAAGTCTCTGTAGGATAAAAAAATATAATACAAAACTTAATTTATTCAGTAAACATTTTTATAAATAATTTTAGTAGTACCCCTCCCCCCCAAAAAGTTAGATTACTTCAGAAACTTATGACTAAAAAGTCAGATATCTGAAGTCATGTTGGTGAACTGGAGAATTAATTCATAATTACTGAACTAATACAATAAATAAATATTTAACATAAATAAGAATCATTCCATGGATCCTCATGGCAGTATTGCAGGAGTATTTGGTACCATTTTACATACAATGATTTTTCACATGCAAATCCCTTCACTGTATATATATATATATGTATATACACACACACACATATATATATAATGGATATATATATATATACACTGATATATATATGTTTATATATGTACACATATGTACACATATGTATATATACATATACAGTATATGTATATATTATATATATATATGCACATATATACATATATATGTGTATATACAATCATTATTTTTAAAAGGTAACATTTCAACAAATCAGTTTAGATGAAGTCAAAGCTCTTAGAACTATGTAAAGTATTAATGTGAGTAACATATAATTGAGCTTGTAACGTGAACTTTCACCAGGTGATGACCACAACAGGGCCATAAACCCCCTGGTGACCGGTCTCTTTGGAGCCATAGCAGGAGCAGCCAGTGTATTTGGAAACACTCCACTGGATGTCATCAAGACTCGGATGCAGGTAGGTCATACGAGGACTGTTTTTGTTTAAAATAAATCCAAAAGCTCTTCTCGCTGCCAGAAGCTGACAGTGGCCGTTCTTTTCTTTTTCTTTTCCTCAGGGTCTGGAGGCTCATAAATATAAAAGCACAGTTGACTGTGCTATGAAGATCCTGAGATATGAAGGCTTGGCCGCGTAAGTACGCCCCCACTCTGTTTAGTTTGGTGTCACGGCAGGTTCCTTCCTGTTATCTTTAAACATCAACCCATTTTCTTTGCTTTCTCAGCTTACAAGTGATGTTGTTTTATACTGTATCTGAAGTGTTCCGTTCCGTGTCCTCAGATCAACCGTTGAATCAGAGACACGTCATAACAGTGTCTTTACCCCACAGTGATGACACACCAGGGGTGTCTCATCTTTGTAACATTGTCTCTTTTCTTCTGTCTAGTTTCTATAAAGGGACAGTCCCTCGTCTGGGCCGCGTCTGTCTGGACGTGGCCATAGTTTTCATCATCTATGAGGAAGTGGTCAAGGTCCTGAACGCCGTCTGGAAGACGGACTGAGCCGCTCCGTGAACCCAACGAAGAGTGTCCCGCTTCCTGCTTTCCGGGAATCAGACACAGATCCAAGTTTAGTAAAAAAAAAAAAAAAAAAAAATAACCCTCTGCTGTATCGTCAAACTTAAAGCGGAGTGTGTTGAGGTGAACAAAGCTGAACTTAGATCAGTGTCTCCTGGAGGAGACAGGAAGTTAGAGAGCTCACGAGAGCTGAAAGAAAAAGAGCGAGTGTGACAAACGTTTAGACAGCTGTGGAGCCTCGGTGGACTGCTGATGAGAGTCAGGGTCACACAGGTTCACACATACACAGACACAGACAGGTCCTCCCTAAATATATTAGAAAAAAAAAGCTTAATAACCTGGTTAGTTTCACTTTCAGTTACTTTCAAAGCTCTTTCAGTGAAAAACATTTTTTTTTGCAGCTGGTATACTGATACACTAATCATACTACAGTACAATACACAACTGTCATACTGAGGTATATTTTAAATGAGTATTGCTCTGTGTTGTGCCTACGATGAAGCTGTTTACAGTCACATACAACTGTAGTGGCTTCCATCAACGAGCTTTTACTAGAATGATTTTGCAGTTTTAATACCACATTTATTTTTATACTGTGTTCTTAATTTATTAGCAGCATTAGAGATGTGTTAATATATTTTATTCATGTGCCAAAAGACCAACCTGATACACTGTGAAAAAGTATCATCAAAAACAAATTGAACTGTGATCTCAGCCAACTGATTATGAACGCTTATGAATATTATTTATTTGTGCTTTATATAGTTAAAAAAAAAAGATAATTATATCCATATGAATGAAATTAGAGCTACGATACGTACTATTTATTGCATTGTTTTCCACACTTGCATTGTTTTGGTGCATTGTTGGTCATGAAATGTAGTGAAACTGTAGACAGTAAGTTTTTTAAAGTCATAGATCATCTAAGATGATCTTCACATCACAAACCACACAATTACATGTTGACCTATTTTTACGTTCAAATAAATTCCATGCGGTGCTTCTCAATCTCAGGGGTCATGACCCTGTGGTTTGTCCCAACTGTACACCTCATAAGGAGAAGTTCATATACATTTAACAGCATCATATTGTAATAGTAATGAGACTTATAATATGTGCTTTTAAAAATGGGGAAATATCAACACCTACTGTAATATTAATGTATAACACTCCATTCAGCCGTTTCTAATGTTCAAAGGGAATTTCAAATTTTACGTTTACAGCTCTGGCGTTAGACTTTATCTTTCTTAGCTTAATATTCTCAACATATCATTGCAAGTGCAAGACAACATGAGTTGGTTCTTTGCTAGCTACCACTTTCTGTTATTTACTTCCACTCGACACCAGTCATGATCGGTAGCTGTCTAACTGTTGGTGAAATTTCTTTTAAAGTTTTACTTTTACTACAAAAATCTCTGCTCAAGTTGTATTTGTTGTTATTGTATCAATTCACTACAATCTAAATGTAGTACCGTCTTGATTGTATTAAAGTACTCACATATTATATAGTGGCTCAGAGACATTGCCTCTGGGCCAATGGAGGTTGGTACCTTCCAGTGGACTCACCACCTGCAGGAAGGTTCGGGGGGGGGGTTGGTACGGTGCAGTGTGATTTGGGTGTCGCCCCCGCGACCCTGTAACGGATAAGCGGATGAAAATGGATGGGATGGATGGACATATGATATTTTCCAAACTGCAGAAATAATCACTTTTTTGGGGCCAAAATGTTTGATTTTTTTTTTTTTTTTTTACTGTGAGTTCAGGTCAAAATACTACTACGCATATATTGTATTCCAATGTGTGTTTGTATGAATATATCTGAGTTCTTGTGATTAATCTTGTGCAATAAACAACTGTTTTTTTTATCCTGGACTCAACATTGTGGGGGATTTAAACACTCAAAAAAGGAGCATTCCATAACTTTCATAAGCATCCACGTTGTTGTTTTTTTTTCCTCTCTCCTTTTCATGTGTTTTTCTCTCCGTCTGATAAAATGTACCACGCTGAAGATAACCATAGGAGACAGGAAGAAGGAGAACCAGACAGGGAGGTCACTTTTTTTCTTCTTCTGTGGATTCCAGTTCTGTGTCTTCTAACCCAGCGTTTCCCAAACTTTTTTCTAGGGACCCATATTTTAAAAGTCACAAACCTTCACGACCCAAGTCAATAGACATTATTGGTAAACTCCTGGGAAACATTATGCAAGACAACCCAAAAATAATAATCTGTGGCGAGTCTTTGGGAAACAATGGTTTACAGTGGTATGAAAAAGTTTGGGCACCCCTGATCATTTTCCTTTATGGATCATTGGTTGTTCGGAACAGCAATTTCAATTAAATATATCATATAGCAAACAAACACAGTGATATTTAAGAATTGAAACGAAGTTGAAGGATTTACAGAAAGTGTGCAATAATTACCTAAACAAAAGTAGGCAGGTGCATAAATTTGGGCACCCCAACAGAAAAATTACATCAATATTTAGTAGATCGAGCATGGACAGCTCACTTTAAAACAGACCACAGATTTTCAATGATATTCAGCTCTGGGGACTGAGATGGCCATTCCAGAACGTTGTACTTGTTCCTCTGCATAAATGCTTTGGTAGAATTGGAGCGGTGTTTAGGGTCGTTGTCTTGTTGAAGTATCCAACCCCGGCGCAACTTCAACTTTGTCACTGATTCTTGAACATTGTTTGCAAGAACTTGCTGATACTGACTGGAATCCATTTCCTTTTTGTATCCTACCTCCAAAACCATGATGTTGAACAATCTTTGTTTTCAGGTCATTTGACAGTTGTTTTGAGGCTCCCTTGTTGCCAGTCTTCAGAGAAGATGCAAAGGGGAGAACAACTTGCAACTGGCCACCTTAAATACCCTTTCTCATGATTGGCTTCACCTGTGTATGTAGGTCAAGGGTCAATGAGCTTACCAAACACATTTTGTGTTCCAGTAATTAGTGCTGAAGGTATTCAAATCAATAAAACAACAAGGGTGCACAAATTTATAATAAATAATTATTGCACACTTTCTGTAAATCCTATACTCCTCCTTGAACCACAACCTTAACGTGGTGGAGGGGTTTGAGTATCCGAATGAACCTATGAGCTATGTTGTCGGGGACTGGGAGGGGTACTGGACAGTGCTCCTCCCGGGGATTCCATCGTCCTGTTGGGGGACTTCAACGCCCACGTGGGCAGCGACAGTGACACCTGGAGGGGCGTGATTGGGAAGAACGGCCTCCCTGATCTAAATCCGAGTGGTGTTTTGTTATTGGACTTCTGTGCTAGTCACAGTTTGTCCATAACAAACACCATGTTCAAGCGTAAGGGTGTCCATCAGTCCAACTGAGGATGTCGTCGGGAGGTGGAAGGAATATTTCGAGGATCTCCTCAATCCCACTGACACGCCTTCCATGGAGGGAGCTGAGGCTGAGGACTCAGCAGCTGATCCTCCCAGTCCTCAAGTCTCTGGATGTTGTGGGGCTGTCTTGG